CGCGGGAGAGAGAGAAGAAGGGGTGGAGAGGGAAAGAAAGAAAGAGAGAGAGAGAGAGAGAGAGAGAGAAACGAAAAGAAAGAGAGAGAAAGAGGGACAGAGAGAGAGAGCGAGAGGAAGAGTGATCGAGTCGGCGGCGGCGGTCGGCGCCTTTTGATCTTGCCTGTAATCCCGTCGGGCCCCGCGGCCTGACTGACGTCATGAAAGGTGTCCGAGAGCCATACATACGCGACGAACCCATCTAAGTGTGCGATGCACGTCGGTGGATATGTCCTTACGGCCCATCGGGATCTCACGAGATAGGGGGATGTAAATCTCAAAGATTTGATGAATGACGAAACGGGACTACTTTGCCAACACCGGGGAACGTGTAGAGGAGTGGTTTCGGGGATGCCCCTTTTCTCCTTTTTTTCTCGAGTGTACCGTGGCAATTAGCAGAAGTTTTCATAGCAGGTGGCGGCGAGGAGCCCCGTGTAACGACAGGTCCATTACTACAGTATGACCCACAAAAGCGCATTGGCGATGTCTCAGCGAAAATTAACACTAGAATTACCATACCACTTGAAATTAATGGTTTACATGTTCTTGTTTGATATTCTAGGGGCATTGGATATTTCAAATGATATCGGAAGTAGAGTTTTATTCGAATATCGGAATGAATCTTTGAAGATACGATTTCTTTTTCATTTGAGGTCGACGGAGTATAGGAGTAACGGAGTGACGGAGTTTATAATTTGCTAGGAGAGAAATTCTACGGTTATTCTACGTTTACGCTTAGTTTGAATAATATTTAATTCGGACTCGGAAGAGTTATGTGACATTTATATTTGGTGAAGTCTGTTTGGAATCTTTGTTACGAGTTTGATATATTGATATTTTTGCGACAGCAGGCTTTCATATTTAGAATCAAAAGTTGCAAACAAGTAATTTGAATATTTAAACAACAAAAGGTCAACACATCGATTGCATGTTTCTTTAATCATTAAAGTTTAATGTGTCATCTATTGATGCAATGTAATTGGTACTATTTAACACTAAAATTACGACACCTGTCGATAGTTTCCTGTTTTCCAATTTTCTTATTTCGCAATTATTGACGTCTGAAATGTTGAAACGATTTAAAAAATGAATAGCTTCACTTGAATACTGCAATCGATATATGAAGAAGCCAAAAATAATCTGTTGTTACAGTTTTTATGCAGATTCTATATGAATCGTATTAAACGCTCGATAGGTCTAGTGCTCACATTTAATTTACACATTTGATGTTAGCTTTTCCACAGTAGGCATCCAACTTTAGCTGACATCTCTACACCATTCTTATCTAGGTACTTGTTGACGATTCAATATTCTTGTTTTTCCTGTAAATCATAAATGCACTAACAGCTTCCATTCGATCCTTCTAATGTAAATCTCTTTTCAAATGTACAAGCAACGATCTGCCATTTTTATCATCTAATGAATGTGTTTTCCCACAAATTGCAAACGAGCTTCCTCATGCGCCGTAGTTAACGGTTGTTTACGCATCAAGTTTTTGCATTCGAAATACTTCTATTTTTATATACTACGGCAGTGGTTCTTAACGTTTGCAGCGATCGGCATCTCCTCGAGTCTGAAAATACGTTCTCGCACTCCCTTGAGAAATGTGTTTCTATTTATTTATTTAGGAAATTACATCGATTGCAAGATAATTTATTTGTTGTAAAATAAACACATACATTTACATTAAAATTTTGAATGGCTACGTTGTTGTCGTTCATTCATAATAATACCTTTACACTTCTAAATTAACTTTTACAACAACACTTGCATTCGAGTGATTTGTGGCTTTAGTTTTTACTTCGATCGAAAATTTAGAAACTTTTCTCGTACTCTAGATTCGGAACCACCGTACTACGTTGTATAACATGTCGTGCATTGCACATTTCAGTTTTTACGTTAGCTTCCGTTGGCATAGTTTTAACAAAATTATTATTATTCTTGCACCTAGAGACTACATACACTATTTCCCTATGTAAAATGACTTTGATCAATCAGAGGTCGATTGATTGATTGCTCGTTTAAAACGGGGTGAACACCTTCTCGAGCAACGAAGTATTGTATTATAAAGCTCCTGCTCTAGAACAGTCATTCGGACACCGCACTTGAAACAATGGTTCCTTATCGCATTCAATTACCTTCTTGCGCCGTAAAGTTTATATGTGTCGCAGCCGATTATTTCGAACTTCCGATATTTCGTAATTCTTTACCTTTACAGCGTAACATTTCAGTAAAATAAACATTTGGTGTAACTGAACCTTCCGATGTCTCTGTTTCAGAGTTATTTTACAGTAATCGCCAATGTCTTTGTTATGATGTAAATCATTTTACAAATGACAGAATTTATTCTTAAGGATAAATTATTATTCTTATTCTTAAGAATAAGCGACACATAAAACTCTGAAGTTCCTCATGATACACGGAAAACTTTAGTGATAATCCTTATATAATCAGTCTTTCACGTAAATATGCCGTTATCAATAACCGAAGCTTCCAGATTACACAGAAACAATTATGATTTGTCACATAACTGGCATCCAGTAAAAATCTTCAGTAACTTAACACTAGAACTACCAAGCAGTCAATTTGACTTCTCAAAATTTTTCTATAGAAACCCCAAAAGTGCATCTATCAGTCTCTCAAGACTTCGATCACTCAAAACTTAGTTAGCGTATTACTAAAACAATTTCTTTAAAAATTTCTCAGAGAAGAATCTATTTTTTCAAATAATTGTAAAAAGAGAATTCAGGAATGGCTCATTCCGACTCATCTGGTAGTTCTAGTGTTAAACACCTATAGATAACGGTAACGCAAAATTGACGACACCAAATAATAAGTCCCTTTTTATATCTATCACAAAAGAGTAAACGATACATAAAACTCCGAAGTTCCCCGCTACAGTGAACGTGTTAAAGAGTAAAATCGAGAGTGAAAAACCCGAAGATCGACGATACACGGAAACGGCGACGCCGCGACCACGCACGTACAAATTAAATTTTAGCGGCGATCTTTATGCAAACGGTCTTTTATGTAAATATGCCGTGGTCGTGATTGTCCTGGCCGAGAGCGTGTCTCGGAAAGAGGTAGTTTACATGCGTGAATTTTCAGGAGAAGAGATCCGCTTAGGTGAACCCCTTACCGGGCTGCATTTTACTGCTTAACGCAAAACCGGCCCCGTAACTCGTAACACTTACTTTTCGTAGACTCCGCGATCTCTGTCTTACGTAAAGTTCCTTCCACGAGGAGTCGTAAGGTGGACATCATAAAAGGGTACAAGCCCAACAACTACCGAGGCGCATCTCATTCTGCTTCTTCCCTTCTTCTGGCGTTCCCTCCTTCCGAGCCTTTACCAGAGAACACCGCCGCTCCTTCCTTTCCGGGACTTTTTCACTTGGATTTTGCTGCCGCCGCTGGCCGTGTGACGTCGTTTGTTTAACTTCGTGATTATAATTAAGTTAATTAAAAGGAGGACTAATTACCAGTAATTAGTGGACTTTTAGCGACACCTTGCGTGCCACCGGGCCTTCTCATCTTCTCAGACCAGTCCCGGAAAATATTCTTCCTGATCTATTAGTCGCCTTGAACGCGCGCTGTAAATTCAATTCTCCGTGGACTTCCGACTGTCTTCCAACTTCTAATCTCTGCGGGTTTTTAGTCGATTTTAATCTGGCATTGATCTGGGTTCTGAGAATATAATTGTTTCGTACTGTTCTGTGTATTGGTGTCGATTGAGATAGTCGTGGAGAACTGGAACGAGGTCGTACTTGTTATTTGGTGTATCGATTTCGGTTTTGGTTGTTCTATTCTTTTATTTTCATCCTTCTGTTTTGTTTTTTCTTTGCTAATACCGATCTTATTCATTAAACTAGTGAAATACCGATTGAAATCGGACGTCAATTCATTGCTAACAAGGAAACGAATTTTTTCGGTGCATGACATATTGGTTTTAGAACTATTATTCGTCGGTTTTGCGGTTTTCTCAGAATATCTGGAGAACTGGAACAGAAACCTAATAGTTGTGACTGTACTTCGATTCTCCATAACTGCTTCAAGAACCGAAAACAATATCACATTTGTTTTAACTCCTGATTTTAATTGTTTTTCGCTAGAATATTTTTATGTTAAAAAATTCTGTTTCAAATGAGAAGATCATAAGATTGAAACAACAGTTATATATTATCCCGTTGGTATATGGAATAAATTAGCGTTACCAGTGCGTCACATATTCCACTTCATTATTCAATCTTATCGGGAAATATTTGTACATAGAATTCAATTTTGTTATTATCACAACATAACACCATATATTATATAATAATACAATTACTTCTATAAGAAACTTTATTTATTCATCAACCTATTGGGATGCAAAAGTTTGACGTCTTTTATAAGAAACAAAAGAAAAAGTTCTCAACTGTTAGCTGGTTAAACCGAAACTAAGGAAAAACGACGAAAGGAGTGTCCTTTATAAACGTTACAATAGTGTAAAGATGTTATTTGTATCGAAGAAAAGCTTTTGAAAAGTTTTAAATTCGTTATTAACCCCCTGCCCTCCGAATGGAATTGAATTGAATTGAATATTATTTTTCTATTATTAATCGTAATGCGTCTGTGTAAACGTAGATATGGAATAAGTCTTGAAGTTTCCTCTTTTTATAATGAATTATGAACAATAAAATATCTCTGTTGAATGCAATTGGGAAGGAAATCATAGAGCAAGGAGTTAAACATGCACAAAAAGCGTCAAAACTGTTGCACCGACCCAATATTCCGATTAAATCCTATTTTACAGTACTCAAAAGTATATATTTGTTTCTTTTTCCAGGACAGGGGCGTGTGAATCAACTCGGTGGCGTGTTTATTAACGGGCGTCCGTTGCCAAATCACATTCGGCTGAAAATCGTGGAAATGGCTGCAGCCGGCGTTAGGCCATGCGTGATCTCCAGACAACTGAGAGTTTCGCATGGCTGCGTGTCGAAAATTTTGAACCGATATCAAGAAACTGGATCGATCAGGCCGGGGGTGATCGGTGGTAGCAAACCGCGCGTCGCCACGCCGGAGGTTGAAGCGAAAATCGAGGACATGAAGAAGCAGAATCCTGGTATATTCAGCTGGGAAATTCGAGAGAAGCTGATAAAGGTCTGTTGACATCGTCTATACGATGTTATTTTCAATTGAGGTGTTCCGAATGGCAAGGGCGAACTTAACACTTAAAAATGACTAGCTATAACCCTTTTCATTAACTTTAATTGAACTCATTCAACAGATTCGATTAGAAATTGTGTTTTGTAAACGTAAGGTAGGTATTTATTGAATTGCAAATGTCCATAGTTCAAGACATACTAAATAAACGAAATAAATGGCAATGCTGAGGGAAAGAGATCTAAGGAGATCTCTCTAATTGGTTGGATTAGTGGTGACTAAAATCATCTTTCGAGGGAAATGTATCTTAACTCCTTGTCTTATTATTTGGTTTCGCTGTTAAGCTTGTGTAATATTTTATTATTGACAATGTGGAAGAAGGGTAACAAAATCTGCCATTTCATTGTATGTGTATATTTGCTTTGGAGATAATAAATTGGTAACAGTAAAGTAGTTTCTTGCTTTGATACATGGATAATGAATGACATTGATTTCTGTTCAATTACTTTAGAAACCTTCATTGCGTGTCTCACTCGTTATTGTATAGTAAGGGTTAAATCATTTTTATAAAAGCGAATTTAATAAAAATTTATAACTGTATCATTTTTCAGCTGTTTTGACTCTGTTACTATGTTAGATATATTCAAGTCATTAATTTTTACTAAATTTGAAGTGAAAAATAATTCTGTTAATATATAACAAAATTTAGAAGAAAAATAATGCCGTTTATATAATATTATTAGTATTTATAAGGTAATGTAGAATTCATCCTTACTTGACAAAACTTTGTCTCAGATTGGAAAGGAATAGAGAATTCGTCAAGCACAGTTAAGGCTGTATATATGTTGCCTATTGTAAATCAATTTAGAAAAGTAAATAATTTTTCATAGATGTTGAATTCGCTCTTACTACCAGGAACACCTTAATTTTTTGTATCAAGCACCTTGATCGGTAGATATATTGATTGCGTTGTGGGTAGTTGTCTTGGCCATCTTCACGATTATCGAGGATTTCAAATTTCAAGTTAGGCATACTCATTAGTAGAATTTTATTTTATGAACAATTTAACAACCAGCTTAACACTAGATTTACTGACATTTACTGTACAGTTTGTTCTATTGTTTTAAGAAAAATTGTTATCCGTTCATTTAGATCTTAGGTATTAGAGGTTTAACAGTACACAATTAGGATACATATTTGTATAACTACGTTAATAATAATCGACCCAAATATTTACCAAATAATGCTTATAAAATTCAATATGAGTCAAATTGACTCGTTCCGTAGATCTAGTGTTAAATGATATTTCAAATATATTCCGAAAATATTTTTCTGTTCTTCCTTGCATCTACTAATTTTTAACCCTTTACAACAGAGAACCGACTCCCAGTCATCATTTGATTCAACGCATGAAAATTATAAAATTTAAAAATCAATATTAAATTCTGTGTAATGTATTGTATCATCATGTCAAACATTAAAATAAAATACCTATTTACTGAAGTAGAATAAAATGTTCTTCACATTAACTGCAAAACATATAATCGATTTCATGAGAAAATAATGAATATTTATAATGGAAAACGTTGTTTTACAATTCCCACGCGTACACAGTGAATGTTTGAATTCGATTTGCTCGAAAACTAAACGTCGAAGGAAACAAAATTTTATTCCATATTTTTCTCTTATTTTTTCGTAAGGAATTATTTCTTATACATATTCGATTGCTCACTACACTGGCGGAAGAAAATATTTTAATACGTTGACCGCCACAGTGGAAAACAATTACAAGTTGAAAACTGATATTAAGTTCAAATGTTTAGTACCATCAGTAACTAAATAATAGTGTAACCTAAGAACCATGGTACCAAACCATTAACACTAAAACTACCAGACAAATTGAGCCATTCTTAAATTTTTATTTCCCAAATATTTAAATTATGACAAAGTTGTTGCCAAAAATTACAAAATAAAGCGTATTTATACAGATATAACAATAAGGGACCCGTAAAATCTCGAGAAATATATTGCTCTAATTTTCATAAAAACTTAGAAATAAGTCACTCCAATTGCTCGGTAGTTTTAATGTTAATAACCAATTCCAACGCCATTCGCCTTTGTCATGATACGATAAGTAATATTATACGAAACGCTTTATATTCTCGTGGCGGTCAACATGTTAAAGTTTCACTGCTTTTCATTCCTATACTAACTAGTCCAATGTGGTTCTGCCAGCAGGACGGTGTCTGCGATAAGGCGTCAGCACCATCGGTTTCCAGTATTTCGAGACTTCTCCGTGGTCCGGCGAATCAAACTCGGCCTGGTGATGATCCCCGCAGAAATCATTCCATCGACGGAATACTCGGTGCGTCTGTTTTGCTTTCATCAACACGTTGCCCACTTAAATGGCGCTCATTCAATTATTCATACAATCAAAGCAATTTGCCTGGAGAAATAAGAATTGGAACGTCAAGATTTTTCAGGGACTGCTCTCTCAGTCCTCTTGCTTCTAATAGATCTAACCAAAGGGGTATTTACTACTAGACGAACCGCCTTTGTACCTAAGAAATAAAATATTAATAATAGTACTAATGAAATATTAATAATCTGTGATAATATTAAACAATGTGCCCTTAATTTTGAAAATGGTCTAAGTCATTTCAAGCAGAAAAATCATATTTTTTTATAAGTTACACACATTACGCAGACATAATGAATCTTAATTTTTCACGATTAAATATTTTCTGAATATTTCATTGCATAGTTTATTCAGCTTGTTGTACTTTATCTGTTGCAATATTGAAACTTCCAGTAGTGATTCTAATAATAATTTTATTAGTGTTATTATATAAACATAAGAAGTTTAAGGGATATTCATTAATGTTCATAGATCGCTTATAAAAACGATGATTCACGTCAAATGATTTGTCTTTTCTTCTTGTTCATTAATCACCTTTCCAAAGCATTAATGACAAAAAGTAGTAAGACAATAAATAATATAAGAAACACGTGATACATGGTTCGCTGATATTTATACACCCAAGTTACCAATTACAAGCTGCCTTTTGATTGCCAATATGCCATATTTTTATAAATACAAATTCTCAATTCGTTTTTGGTCGTTGCCTTGTTGGTTGATACGACGCGAGATAGCGGGACAACTTTTTGAAGAAATCCCTTCCACGATCACGACGCACGGTGAGATCTCGCCGATCTTGGTCAGAGAATTAACGACACTGAAATCAGCGGATTGCCGCTTAAAGAGATTTTCACGAACGATACGTACACGCAAAATTTGTGAACAGCGTCGTCGTTTTAGCACCGCATAAACCATTAGGCGGGCGTAAATGAAACGCTCGAGGTAATCGAGCGATAAGCGTAATTATAGCGTGCAGAAACATTAAGTTAATTGAGTTAAGGTAACCGTGACGATAAGTGCTGCATGTGTATCGGCAGTATTTCGCGCCGTATAGGAAAGTCACACGATTTTCAGTTTCCTTGGTACATAAATTTCAATTTTTTCGAGTTTCGTCATTTTTCAGGGTGCGACTTACATTGTTATGGGTGTGAGAATGCGAATGTTACACCACTGCGCAGTTAATGTATACATTTTCTTAATATTCGTGTTCGGTTAAGTCGAAGGTCAGAAAGTCGGAGAAAAAAGGTAACGGCACTAGTGACTCGATTACAAGCAGTTATTCGTAATTGTCGATAATAGGTATCGCATTAATCAATAAATTGATACAATAAAACTGACATTTTAATCAAAATTTACTCTCTAAGATCGTAATCTAAGAAATTTAATTGGAAAATTGATTGATACTCTGTGGAGAAAGTAATGGTAAAGATATTGTTTTTGTGAGAGTAAACGTAATTATAATGATGAAAATGCTGCGAATAAAAGAAAGCTACACATTGTAATATCGAGTTAAAGAATTTTTTGAAACGCGATTATAAATCATACTTTATGGCTTACGGCAGATAGCCTAAAAAGAAATTAATAAAGCAGCTGAGATATAAGATACCGATATAAATTTTTAAGATTTAATAGTACAATGTTCATGCATACGTTTCTCTGCTTAATGTATTTTCTGTAAAAAATGATTATCTAGTAGAAAAATTTCTTCTGTTGAAAATGTGAATGTAGGAACAGTGAAATTCATGGTTAGATTCTAATATCGACAGCTGTATATAGAGTTTATTGTGATTTTTATATAATATTTTCGAGCAGCATTGAAAGTTTATTACAGAATTAGATTTTCTATCATTGTTTACTCAAGCTGAAAATTGTATTTTTTGTATTTTTATTTAAAATTTGTAAGTTTCATGTGTTTCGATGTGCTCGAAACATACTATGTATTATATTTAAGCTTAGAAATTGTTGTAAATTGAATTCAAATTGCGTATATTTTGCTAGATATACAGTATTCACCTAACCAAGACATTTTGAAGTTAATTTTAAATTGCAAATAACGTTGTTACTGACAAACTCGAAATAAATAAAATTATCCTAAGAATCTATTTCATTTCGTAAAGATATAATAAAATATTTCTTTTTCATTGTGCCTATGTAACACACAAAATTCAGAACAAGTGGAAGTGGTTGAAACTTACTAGAATTGTCCGAATTTACAATGTGATGTGAGATGTCACCTTAATAATCGAGAAAAATGGAATCAGAAACACTAATGAAAAGAAACATTGAAAACAAAAAAAGAATTCAACATCTAACTGTTTCGATCCAAACAAAAAATAACAGTTCAATTAGTAACAGTAACATATAAAATTTGTAGTGGAACTATGTGAATTTTATCGATAATGTAATTAATTTCGTATTGAAATATTAATACGTTTCAATGAATTTGAATTTAAACCTGAGCGTTTTTAAATACATTTTTATATCTATACATAATAATATACAGCTTTAGTATTGCCGACATTTTAATTTATATTTATTTAAAAGTTGTAGATTACGATGCATAATAGTGTCAAAGAATTTTCGCTCGCTGAAAGCGGAATAATTTGGAGGATAGGAAGAGATCAACAAAAATGTAGGTCCAGTCGGCGGATGTAAAAGGAGTTGCCCCTTTTTTTATTTATTAGCTGCAGTGGAGTTCACGAAGAAATATTAGGCGTCCCGTGGCGCGTAGATGTGTCGAGTTTATTACCATGTCGGGAAGATTTAGTTTTGATTAGACGTACCCCGGGAATTGCAACTCGATCTAATAGTAAGAACGCGCTTAACCACCTGTTGATCGCTTTGCACTGTTCATTGGGCAGATTTTCAATTCATAGTCAGTCGATTTGTTACTAATACGGAACTGTGAAAACGTAATTACGATGGTAAGGGAAGTAAACAGACGGTGGGCGAGAATATTTACATGAGAATTTAATGTATAATATTTATATTATAGTTATATTTATAACATTAATATTTATGTTATATTCATATTTTCATTTATATATATGTGTAATATTTATATTATATATTATTTATATTTTAAAATATTATACTTTTAATTTTCCTATAGCGGGACTGGAATATTTGAAATTCTTATGTCATCAATATCTTCGTTTCGTATTACAAATTGAATCTAGAAGATAGAGATCTACAATAATGGAATATTTCTGATTTATTTCATATTCAATATTTGATAGTCTTTTACAGAATGTTCCTTACATAATTTGTTCAAAGAAATAATACTTTGTAATCGTTGGTGTCTAGTGCTTACGTCAAGTGAAATTATATTTAATATCAAAATTATTTGACAATTACCATTAATTGGTTACTATGGTTACTCGTACGAGGAAAAAACAAAGTAGGAAATAAACGTGTTAATTTTGTCATTGTAATGATACGCACACCTATAGTCGATTCTCTGTAATTTTAATTATTACTAATAAAAGTAATATTTTATTATAAACCAGCACCAGCTTCACGCACACAGCGTGTTAAAAAGTATAAATAAAAATATCGTCGCATTTTCGGTTAACACTAGAACCAAGTTTCTTTATTTCTCAACTATTGATATCTCAAAAGCATTAAATATTCGAAATGATTTAAAAAATGAATGGTTTCAATTGAATATTATGACGAATATACGAAGAAACCGATAAAAGTCTATTGTTACCATTTTCATAAGGGGTGGATATTAATCATATTAAAAGCTGTGTAGTTCCAGTGTTAAATTTTAGAAAGGAATTCACAAGGCAAGCGGTTGAAGTAAAAGAAATTTGATTGAGAACATTGTTGAAAGGGGAATAACCCTGCAAAAGGAGAAGAGCAGAGGGCGTAAATGCGTACGCACACGGCGTGTGGTCTCTCGAGCTTTGTGTCTGATGCCTCTACTCTTCTAAACCACCGATACCAGGGCCAACCTCCTGTTCTTTTCGGACAGCAAACCACGCTATTGATTTAGACGTTTTAGTGATCTGAGGAGGCTTAGCTGTTTACATCGTTGCAGATGATTTACTTCTTGCGGTTTTGTCCGAAAATGTGCTCTCGACGTTTATCACCATGTATGGACACATAAGAAAAATTATGTTACTGTCATGAGCTATATCTAGATTGTTTTCAGTATTGTTCTGGCATTTTTTGAAGGAAAGTGGAGATTTTGGGGTTTCTTAATGTTTATTGTGGATTTTTTACACTAGAAGAGATCACTTCTAGCAGAGATCATTGAAAATTCTTTTGAACATCTTATTGGAAGTAACTATTGCTCAATTCTTTGATTTTGACGTTTGGGTTTTTATTCTGAGGTTAATGCACAATAGAATAATAAAAAAAAAATAAAAATAAAGGAAAATGGGAGAAGTTTATAAAAATGATTTTCGACGTCACTCTCCCGAACAGCGAGTTTAATACTAGGAGTACTTATTAATTTGCGTTAAATTCCCTTTTTTAATACAGGTTCAACTTCATTTTCTGTTTGTATTACTTTCTTATGAAGAATCT